GGCAGCCAGGGCTCCCCCTCCCTCAGCCGGCGCCCGGGCACACCGCACCCTGCGGCCGCCGCGCTCGGCCCCTAGGCGTGGCGCGCGGTGTGGGTCTCCGCGCTCCCAGGGCGGCCGCTGGGGGGTGTGCAAGGTGCGGTCCCAGCGCTCGCGCAGGAAGTGCGCGCCGCGGTCCCGCAGAACCGGTCCGGCGGGCGCCCTAGGGCTTGGCTTCGCTTCTCCGACGCCGGCCGGGGGGCCCCCCCACCCGCTCGGCTTGGGGTCGCGGCAGACGGAAGCTGCTGACCTTTGCCATAGGCGTGGCCGACGACCGGCCAGGGTCGCGCGGCAGCCAGGCCGGGGTAAAGCTGGCGGAGCAAGCCCATAAACCGCGATGGAGCTGGAAAACAACGGGATGGAGACGTGCGGACTGGCAGGGCCCGGCGTGTCACGGATCTCACGGCGTGGCACGCCTAGCACCCACCGGGAAACCGAAGACCTGGGACCAAGCAGTGCCGAACCGAGCACTCTTGACTTCCAGAAGGCTGGATCAGGGTTTTCGGGGACACCCAGGAAACTGGGTCAGGGTCTTACCTAGTAGCCTCTCCTGGGCCCAGACCCAGGCTTCTGATGCCCCACTGACCACGTTTCCAGGGCACAGAACTGCCGGCGTCCAGACCCCACAGCCCACCGGCCTGACTAACGCCTCTGGCTCTAATTAGCCTGCTTTGAAGATGAAACAGACCTGAGCCCCCATGCTAGTAGCTGCCAACTAGTTTCTCTCCTTCCCCTAGGCTTCACAGGCTCCTCCCTTCCTACCCCATTCTGCTGCCCTCCAGATGGGAGGTGATAGGAAGTGGTGGGGTAGCTGGAAAAGAGGCTATCTGCGTGCCAGGGGGATGGAGACAAGGATCCACCCCAAGAGACAGGTCCAGCTGGAAAGCCCAGTCTCAGCTCCTCTAGGCCTCGGCTTCACAACTGACTCACAGGCGGCAGCCCCAAACCACTTCCCTCTAGGTACCTCAGTTTCCCCATCTATAAAATGGGAGTGATGACTCCTGCCCAAGAGGCTGTGGGGTGGGGCAGCCTGGCTAATTAAACCTAAGATGAAAGAGGCCAGGATGAGAGCAGCCCTGGGAGTGGAACAAGGAGCCTGTCTGGTTTCCCTGTCTGAGGCCCAGAGGGTGCTGATAACTGCACGTCCCCGGCCCTCAGCACTCATAGGGAGGGAGGAATGATTATTAAACCCCTTTTTACAGTTGAGAAGACAGGCTTCAAAGGGTCAGGAAATTCGACGCTGGCTCCGGCCTCTGCTGGGGTCTGAAGGGAGGGTATCCACACGTGATGCCCGATACTGTGGTAGGCGCATCCACATGGACTCACAGGCTCATGGCAACCCTGTGGTACCCCAGGATGGGTACCATGAACAGTTGGGGAAAGAAAGGCCCAGAGAGGTACAGTCACTTGCCCAAAGTCACAGAGCTCCTAGGTGGTAGAGCCCGGACTTTAGCAAACAGCCCCTCACTGCCCCCGACTTGGCCCTCCTCCCCCACCAGCTGGCCTCAGCCCTCTTGGGTATCCAGATCTTGGATGATCTCCGCCCCCACCTGCGTTCCCTGCTCCCCAGCGGGAGTGTGGTTCTGGTCTGTCCCTGGCATAGGCCAGGCATAGAATTAAGCTCATCCCGCCAGCACTGAGGGCATGCATGGTCCCTCATCCGCAGTCAGGTGAACTCTGAGAGAGGGCCCAAGTGCGGGCCTCAGCCAGTTGGCTGAGCAGGGAACTCTCTGCTTGATATTCGCACCTCATTCCTTTTCTTCCCGCTCTGTTTCCATCCTCCCCACTGTAGCCCAGCTGCGGGGACACGCCAGACACCAAGCTTAGAAAAAGGAAAGACAGTTTCCCAAGGGGTCCCGAGCCTCAGTTTTCTCACCTGTAAAATGGGGGATGGGACCAACCCATCCTCATAGCACTGAATACTGGGGATACAGGGGTGTCTTAATAAGAACATATCAATTGGCAAATCCACAACGAGAAAGGAGTAGTGGGTGCCAGGGGTTGGGAGGAATGGGGAGCGGCTGCTATTGGGTACAGGGTTTCATTTGGGGTGATGGTTGCACAACTCTGTGAAGACAGTAAAACCACTGAATTGTATACCATAAAGGATGGGTTTTATGGTATATGAATTATATCTCAATAAAGCTACCAACGTGGTATTAAAAGAGGTCCCTCGTGTACAGAACTTACACGGGAGGAGAGGGCGACAGACAACAAATAAGACAAATGAAAATTTCACAGAGTAAAAGATGCTGCAAAGAACACAGAATAAGGTAACAGGAAAGAGGTGACTGGGGGGACAAGGATTTAGCTGAGGTGGTCAGAGGCCTCTCAGAAAAGGGAACATTTGGCTGAAACCTGAGTGACAAGAGGCAGTCAGCCATCAATTAGGGAAAAGCGTTCGAGGCGCGAGGCGTAGCAGAGGAGAGGGCTGAGCTGGGAACAGGCTTTAGCCTGTTCAGGGGACAGAGGGCAAGCGGTGTGGCTGGCACAAACAATCAGCGAGAAGGGAGAGGCGTGGGGTCAGGAGGCCAGGGGAGACCTGGCCTCGAGGACTTTATTCCAGCTGTGATAGGAGCCACTGGGGAGTTTTGAGCTGAGGGGACACACTGGCTGTGAGAGGTGAGAGGGAGCTGGGAGGCTGGTCAGGAGGCTGTTATGTGGTCCAGGTAAGACATGGTAGGGGCTGGGACCAGGGTGGTGATCGTGGAGGTGGAAGTGTGGGTGGATGCCAGGGCCGTGGGGGCTGACAGGACTTGCCGGTGGGTGCGTGAGGGAAGTGGGCTGACTCTGGTCTTTGGCCCTGAATACTTGAGGGCCGATGGTTCCAGGATCCAAGATGGAGAAGGCTGTGGGAACTGTGAGAATGAAATCAAGTCTGGCAGGCCAGACACGGGGCCACAGTGGTGAGCCTAACCCAGCTCCTTGGCCTTGGATGAGAACCTATGGCTTCCCCTCGCACCATTCCTCAGGCGCCAGCTGGCCCGGAGCCGCCTCCTCTGCCCACCATCCCCCAGGCCCTGCCCCCTGCCAGGCCCTAAGCAGCCCTGACTCCCTCTAGCAGTGGATTGGGAGGCCCATAAACAGGAACTCAGAAAGAGATGGAGGAGTCCATGTCACCACAGCACTAACAGTTTGTTAGGGGCTTTGCAGCATCCACAGGGCTATTGTCAAACAGGGCTAGAAAGGCCATTGTTTGAGGCAAGCAGAGGCCTCGGTGGCCAGGGGCACCACTGGCCTGTTTCAAGGCTGTGTCCATTCTCAAAAGGCTGCTGGGCTTCTGGGCAAAAATAAATTGAGAGCATCACTCTACAGTTCCAAGGAGCAGAGCTGGAACTAGGAGTCCCACGTCACAGATATGTACACTGAGGCCTTAACGAGGACAGGAGGTGAGCCGATGGCCCTTCAGACCGCAGGCCCCAAGGTTAGGCCCAAGTCCCCAGAGACTAAATCTTGGGCAGCCCGACTGGCCCCGGCTCTTTCCTGCTTCTCAGCACATCTCAGGTCCCATAAGCCCTTGTGCCTTCAGCGTCCGTACCATCTCGGCTCCTCCCGGATGCCTCCTCTGAGAGCAGGAAGGGGTGGTTCCAAACCTCCTCCCTCCATCTAATTCCTGCCCTAGCTCTCCCTTGGCTGCCCGGGATGTGAGCCGAGCACCAAAGGAGAATACCAGCTACCGCTCTTTGGGGGGCATGGCCCTCACTTGCCTCCTGGGGTTCTGCCTTCCTTCACCCCCCTATCCAGTATACCAATGAGAGATGTCTACTCGGAACACCTAGAATCAGCACTCGTGGCTCTGTTTGCAGCTGGCCTAGGCCACCATCCCCTCCTGCTCGGACTATTACAGCAGCCCCTCTGCTGCCACCCTCCCCACCTCTCCCCCCGCCCCGACACACACTCCATTCCCCGTAGCAGACCCCAAGACTTCCTACCACACTGAGCCTCACGTGATATGGCCGACCTGCGTCTCCAAGCTCAGTTCCCACACCCTCCCATCCCATTCCCTCGGGATCCAGCCACCTCCTTTCGGTTCATTGCACACACACTAGGCTTACTCCCACTCTGGGGCCTTTGCCCCGGCTGTTCCTTCTGCGGGTCAGGTGCTTCCTGCTCAGCGCAGCTGGCTCCTACCTCTCATTCAGATCTCCGTACCCCCCACCTGTCAATGTCACCCTGCGAATTGAAGTCCTGCGTCACGCTTCCAGTTTTCTTAGCTCTCTGCCTTGCGTCACAGGATTCCCCGTGTCTAGCATAATGCCGGTATTCAGTACTTGGTGATTGAATCAAGGAATGAATGAATGATATCTCCCTGGCACCGTGTGAACAGAGAGCAGAGGGTGCCTGCCCTCCTGGAGCTCATAGTTCAGCTCGGTATTTACCCAAGTTCACACACATTGGTTCCAGAGCTGCCCATGCACCACGGGCCGCACACCAGCAACCTATGGGTTAAATATGACTCATAAAGATATTTTGTTTGACTCAGTCCATATTTTTAAAAATTTTTGAAAATTGGTAGAGTTTAAAAATTGGTAGAGTTCACATACAAATCTAGATTTCCAGCTTCTCTTGGA